TCTAGTTATTTTGAGCACGTTTTAATCGATTTTTCCAGCTGGATATTATCCAGCTGGCATCATTCAACAACCCAAACCGATTAGAATTCGGCTCCAACCGAATTTCGAGTGGGAAATCAAGGATCAAAAATAGAAAAAAACTGAAGAACAAGGAGGGAAATCTGTTCGAGAAAATTCTCTAGAGAGAGAGAGGGTCGGAGGTCCCCCCGTGAGTGATTGGCGCCGCTCTAGACGGCGGAGCGCCGGCGAATCACGAGTTGGTCGTGACCTCCCCTCGCCGTGCCGAGCCGGAAAACCTGATTGGGAACGTTTGAAACCAGGTGTCGTCCGGACGACTCCGACCTGTTTCGGCGAATCCAAGCACACCGGGAGGCAGAGAAAGTGTCAAGGAACGTTCTCTGGGCTGTAGATCACTTCAATAGATTCATTTGGTTGTCGAACGAAGCAGGTAAATCTCCTTCGTGGTCACGGATTCCCAGAATTTCCAGAATGTGTTTTGGTTCAAACTTGTGCATTTCTTAGGTATTTTGCGACGTTTGATGCTCAAAACATGTTCTGACTTCATCTTTATTGCTTGTTTGCATTTTGAATGGTTAAAATCGCATAAACCGAGCCGATCCGTGCATTAAACCCACCTCGCCGGAAAACTTGAAACTTCGCCGGAGCATCACAGTGGCCTCAGGCCATTCAAGTCAGTCTCTCTGAACTTTGTTTGTTGGTTTGTTAGTTGTTAGACTCGATCTAGACGGCTAGGGCGATCGGAATAGGGGTTAATGTTAGAAAAGTGGAAAATGTCAGTTTTGAGTTGGCATTTTTAGGCTCGATTTCTGCCGGCCGGTGAACGTCCACCGGCGTGCCGAGTAGGTTAGACTGAAAGTAGAATATATAGACTCTGTTTTGGTGCAACCAGAATGGCTAGAAGGTCATAGGAGGCTCGCCGACGGTGAGCTCAAACCGGTGGTCTTGAAAACTGAAAACATGGAATAATGCCCACCAACTATTCGTGAAAATGTCTTAATGAAAATCACTCAAATGGTGCTGTTTTGGGCATGCGTTCGCTGGAAGGGATGATTGGCGACCGGCGCCGGCGACGGCTAGTTCAGTCTCGGCCGAACCGGTCCGAAATGGTCCGGTCGGTTCATTCGCCCTCCGACGGGGAAAAATTCAAAAAAATATATAATAATAAAAGAAAAATCAATAAAAAACAAAAAATTAGAAAAATTCTAAAAATAATAAAAATAATAAAAAATCACAAAAATAAAATAATAACAAAATAACAAAATTTTGCAGAAAATTAGAAAAATTACAGAAAATTCAGAAAAAAACAAAAATTCTCGGAAAATTCATAAAAATTTCAAAAATTCAGAAAATACAAATAAAAATTTGAAAATTCTGAAAAATCAATAAAAATTGAAAAATTGGAAAATTCACAAAAAATTTCCAGAAAATCATAAAAAAAATCATTTCTCAGTTTAAAGCAAATTTTCCGAAAAAAAAATCAAAAATCAAAATTTTGAAAATCCACAGAATGATTAGGAATCATTGTGGCCAGTCATAAAAAGTGAAATTTGGATTTTTCAAAATGCCTAAGTGGCATAATTTGGAAAATTCCAAATTTAGGGCTAAAACCCCTAAAAAACCCTAAACCCTAAAAAATGAAATGAACAAGCTATTAAAGCTTTGTTAAGGTTTGAGTAGGTTTTCATTTCTAGTGACCAAATTAGGGTTGCCGTAATTGATTTGCCATTGGATGTGCATTTGATTCCTGGATGCTTAATTGTTTGTCCATGATTAGATTAGTGAAATGACCTTAGGGATCCGTGTGATACGCTAGACACGTCATATCGTTCTTAGGTACCGAAAGGGCGTTAATGGTCTCAATTTGGGATCGTTAATGTAACCAAGTCCCTTATCCAGAATCTTTGGTTCGTAGGATTGCGGTACTTCTCCCGTACCACAATTAGGTTTCTAGTCGACCTACCGTAAATGACTAGTGGCGACTCCAAGTTTGAATTTAGATCAAACAAACCCCGCTGTCACGTGAGGTATGTCCTGGGAGAGGCTCGTATAGAAAAATACCTCCATCCTAAAGCACGCGAGAGCATGGCGCGACAGTGTATATTTGACACGGTAATTATATTTACCGCTGTCTTGACCGAGTAAGTCTACGGTTTTGCCTTCAACGGTTGACTTCTGGGTGAAACGCCTTTCACCCTGTCGGACTTTTTCTTTCTCCTTTTCATCCATATTTGTTTCATCTTAGAGCATTTTCTTAGGTAGGGCTTTCTCCTCAGGGCTAGTTTCATCGTCCATACCACCCCAACCATCAGGCACAATTACTTCATCTTTGAATGCCCATGGCGGTGGGGTATATTTCACCTAGAAGTTATATTTTTCGGAGTCTTCTCCCAAGTTGTCTACAATCTCGCCTTTTAGGAGTGCTTCTTGACGAAAGCGGGCATCTCCTAATCGAGAAGTTTTAATCTTGATTTCATATTCATCTTCATCATCAGACTCGACCACTGTTTCTTTATCATTGATCATGTTTACTGTATTGTGCTCAGGAAGAGGATTCTGATGTACATTTGGCTCGGGCTCTTGGAAGTTCAATATCTTCTTATCAATGAGCTGTTGAACCTTATACTTTAGAGTGGGACAATTATCTACATCATGTCCCCTTTCTCCCATATGATAGGTGCAGGTTCTTGATTCATCGTACCAAGAAAATCTTGCAGGATTGTCTCTCGGTACTTCCTTGGCCACCAAATGCCTTTCTAGAAGCATTGGTAATAGCTTCGACAAGGGTCGGGGCAACGGTGTGTATTGCCTCACGGGCCTTTTATTTGGCTCGAACTGCTTTGGATTTTTCCAAGCGACATTTGATTGCATTGGAAATGATGCTTGATGAGTACTTGGGCTAGACACCATAGCCACTTCTCGGATGGACTCTTTGTCTTTTTTCCCGGGGTAAGGCCTTCGTGCTGCTGTTTCTTGAGCCTTCTTCTCTTTCAATCCCCATTCAATTCTCTCACCCACTTTTACCAACATGGTGAATGTTTGACAGCCTGATACATGAAGCTTGTCATAATACTCAATTGGCAATGATTTTAGAAAGAGCTCAATGAGCTCGTCTTCACTTATGGCGAGCTTTACTTGTGAGGCAACAGCTTTCCATCTCTGAGCATAGGCTCTGAACCCTTCATTCTTCCGTTTCTCGGTTCTGACGAGATCCTCTCTAGTTGGGAGCACTTCAACATTAAACTTGTATTAACGAAAAAATTCTCCCGCCAAATGATCCCATTCAGTGAAGTCTTCTATGTCGAGGGTTGTGCACCATGCAAGGGCTGCCCCTCTCAAACTATTTTGAAATGTGCTAATAAGAAGTGGCGTGTTTTCTGAATATCTTGCCATCTTGCGGAGATAATACTTCAAATGGCTTGTGGGACAACCAGTGCCATCATACTTGCTCACGAACTCCGGTTCCTTATAGTTTTCTGGAACAACCACCTTTGTTTACGACGAGAACTTGTCGAACCTTCGAAGCTCATAGCCTTGACTTGCTAAGCATTCTTCAATTTTGGCCAACCTCTTGGCTTCTTCTTCATCATTTGTTTTGGATGTCCTCTTGATTTGATCATCCTCTTCCAAATTTACCACCTCAGGCGTAGTCTTTGGAAGATTTTCTTGAACCGGTTCTTTGTTTCTGATTGGGTCTTCAATCGGTGTTTCGGTTGCATTTGAAGTTCCCACATTTGGAGTAGTAGGATAAGATCCTTGAGATGCGAGAATAAAAGCCTTCATTTCTGCCATCATTGCAACCATTTGGGTCATTTGATTCTCGACTTCAACTAGTCGAGCACGGGTTTCTTCTTCCGCCATTCTAACTTGTAAGCGAGTATGAGTTCTTTTACCTTCCGTTGCTAAACAACCTGTTTTGCCCAAAAAAAACCCGATATCAGCATAGTAAAATAATCATGAAACCCTACATTCTTTTAATTGTATGGTTTCATGAGATTGTCAAGGATAAGAAATTTCATACAAGCCTTAGCTTTGTATAAAATTCTTCATCAATGTCTTTCTCAAGGAATCATACAATTTAAAAAATTGCAATCCATGGTGATTCTTTACAAAAAATATTTTGAAACTTCATTAAGCAATTGTTTCAATTTTGAAAATTTTTATTACAATGCTATTCATCAAAATAGGGGAACACTAGCTTAAAAAGTCTAGGCTTCTTGCTAGCTAAGGTAGCTTCAGCTTCTTCATATTCTTTGACCCGTGTCTCCCATTCGTCCACATCGATTACAATCTCCTCAGGAACATACGGCTCTACACTTGGCGTGCTTGGCACAATGTACTCTAGGATGTACGGCTCATCAGAATGAGTAATAACACTCAAAGGTACATAGGGTTCGACATCAATTGATCGTTTAGCCTTCAGCCACCTTATATACTCGTTGGACGCCAAAAAGAGCTTCATTTCTCCTTCCAAATCTTCAGACCATTATACTATTTGCTTGGTTGATTTCTTCAAGGAATTCACGATCCCATCAACCTTATTCGCAGCTCTTTATTTTTCTTTTCCGGTAGAGGTCCTTGCGGTATCTCAAATGTGAACCCCTCAGGATGCCAAATAGGTGGAATTTGTTGAACCATTCCGAATTGTCGTATGACTCTTAGGTACCGCATGGTAACCATTCTGGTTCAGTCCAGAACTGGTTTTTTGTTCTCAGAATCAGTTTTGGACCAGAAACCCGTTTGGTAACGCAATTTTATTTTTCTATTTCTGGGACAAGTTTTTGTTCCAGAACCGATTCTGAACCAGAAATCAGAACCAAAACAAAGTTGGTTTTTCATTTCTTGAACAAAAGTCATAATCATTTCTGAGGAACTCGTTCTCTTCAAAAAACACATCTGTCTCTCGTCTCCTCTCATCTCTCTGATCTGGAAGCCCGTCTCTCTCTGTACTCTCTCTCTGTCGTCGTCAAGAGGAAGCCACAGCCGCTCGCTCGCTCGCTCCGGCCGAGAGGAAGCCAGGGCCGCTCGCTCGCTCGCTCCTGCTCCACGTAAGCTCCGATCCTGCGCTGGATCTCCTCTCATCTCTCTCTTTTCTGGATTTGGAAGTCACCGTGATCGGAGGGGGGGGTCAGCTTCGGCCTCGCCATGGCCGCTGGTCGACCTCGCCGTCGCCCAGATCTGGGTGACGGCGAGGTCGACCGCCAGCATTTCACCATTTCCATGGAGGTTTTTTCCCCCTTTTTTTTTCGTTGAATTTCGAAATCCTTAATTTTTACGGAATGGGTGCGATCGAACGAGGTTGATGTCTCGAAAAGTCGCCGGCTTTTTTACGTGGTGGGTTTTTGCTCGCGCACAGGGCCTTCATATCTCCTGCAGGAAGAAAGATCGTGAAAGAGATAGTCGCCACCCCTACAAGGTTGTCGAGATCACCCCTCCTCCCAAGAGTCTCGGCGTCTGTTGCTTTCCCTCGGTCAGTTTGGGGAAAATTCGGTTGTTTTTAGTGTTTGATTCGAGGGCTGATGCTGTCGTGATTGCTTTGTATGTGTCCCCTGTTTTTTCAGTTGATTGAATTGCTGTCGTGGGATTTTAGAGTGTAACATGATCTGTTGGGCGTTCGCAAGTCAAGGCGATCGAAGCGAACTTTGTATGAAAAATTCGATATTTTAGAGTTATCTCTTCCTTCGGCCATGGCGGGCCGTTCGGCCTCCCCCAGATCATGTTCAGCGGTAGAGGCAGTTTGGTGATAATCACAAACACTCATGGGATTAGAGCATGAAACAGGCATGCTTTATCTTGATTGCCGTGATTAGTTATCAGTTGCATGCTTACTTGTAGGTTGTCCATCGTCCTTGGAACTTTTGTAAGAAAGGGCGCATGACTGTGTTTCATGTTAAGGAAAATGTCGGGGTAAAAATGTTTCTTATCTCCTCAAATGGTTTCCCATGAAAGTCTTCAAATGTTTTGAGTGAAATTAGAGCAACAATGGAAGTCCAATTTCTTGTGATTTTTACTGGACATAGACTGCCTGACAGCAGTACTCATAACAATGACCTGTTCCGGAGGCTGATTTCTTTTCCTAGTCGTGTGTTAATCCATTATTATGTCTTGATAGCAGGAAAAAGGAAAAGTTCTGGTACATCAAACTAAAAAAGAAAAGTGCAACAGATCACATTCTAGATGAAGTGGGGAGAAAGAAAGCTAGAGATTGGATGGGCATAGGATTTTATCTCTCCATTTCTTTATTGTTGTATAGAATTTTTCTGGGAACTTGTCATTCTCTCTAATTGTGTACCTTTCTAAGCAGTTTTACTCATCCTCTATTGTCCAGGGGATGGTACAGTTTTAGCTTATGGTCAAGTTGTTTCTCTAAAGTTTTACAATTCCTTTCTCACTGCTTAGATATCGGAAATCCACCTTCTTAGTTTCACATATCTTTTAACTATTTACATTTTTTTTATATTTTTTGGCATCTTAAAAAAACAGGTCATTGTTATTGTTTTGCTGCTTGCATGCATGAAACAGGCAACTAAACTACAACATGAGGGCTATTTGACATGATATTGGATAAATAGACACATAGGGCCTAATTGCGATTATTTAGTTGCAATTCTCTAAACTGTCTTGCCCCATGGATAGACACATTAGTTGCCTGTTTGAAACTCTAACTAAATATTTTTTTCAGGTACAAGCTGCTGCACCTGTAAGTAAAGGAGAACTCGGGAGGGCCACCTGGACTTTTCTCCACACTCTAGCTGCTTAGGTCTTCTTAGTAAATAAAGCCTGGCTTTTTACTTTCCTTTTCGTTTTCCATTTACGAAGTTTTGCCTGAACATATCAGTAGACTCCTACATCATTTGCACTTCTGCTGAGTTCTTATGAATTTCTCAAACAATAAAGTTAGCGTTAATTATCTATCAGAACACTCAACATTAAAGCACATGTACATCGAACGGTTCAAATTGTAGATGATATGGCTCTTTACATCAAATCTTATGCATTTGAATTGGTACACCATATGATGTGCTTCATTTGATGTTCAACTAGTTAAGGGTAAATGGCATCTCAAAAAGAGACATTTGTGGCAAAGTGGACTGAGCCTTTAACCAATTTGCTTGTAAGCTTAATGGTAGAAGAGGTAAAAAGAGGAAATCGCACCACTACTACCTACAACAAAGTAGGGTGGAATAACATAGTTACCGAGTTCAATAAACAAACAACACTCCAGTTTACTGTAGTTCAGTTGAAGAACAGGACAAACAAATTGAGAAGACAGTATGGGAGTTATAAGAAGCTTCTTTCACAATCTGGATTTGGATGGGATCATGTTAACAAAACGGTTATTGTGGAGGATCCAAGTGTATGGGATGATCACATCAAGGTATCAGTTTACTTGGGTCATTTTGTTCTTATTGTGGATGTATGTTTCGATTATGTTGATGACGTATGTCACTATTTTTGAAATTGCAGGATAACATCGAATAGGCTAAATTCCGAAAGGATGGGTTTCCTCAATATCCCGATTTGTGTATCGTGTTTGGCGATACATATGCTACTGAGGATCACGCAGTAGGAAATGCAGAATACTTGGTGGTGTCGGAGGGGGAAGACAATGGTAGTGGTGGTGACAATGGTGGTGGTGCTTTGGTAGGTGATCCAAACGAACTTAGTGATGGAGTCTTCACACCTGACGTGAGTGCCACGCAAGTTCATGAGAATCACAAGTTGGATAGGACTCCAAATTCCAAGATGAGGAGAAATAGTAGCACATATGATATTGTTGGCACCTGCAAAGCCATTCAAGATATGATCAAGTCCAAGGCGGGTCAATCAACAAGTGGCTCTGTCACCTCACATGCCCCCCCACCCGAGAACCCCTACTCCATGGGAGCCATGGTTGCCATCTTAAATGACATGCCTGACTTAGAGCAGAATCTTTACAACAAAGCTATGAACCAAGCATGCCTTAGTGCCAACTGGAGAGAGGGTTTCGTCCTATCTTTACCTTAAAGGAGACGCGGTCTTCTTGAATCTCTTTGAATAGATGTTGAGAACTACGATGACTTTTTCATGTTTGCTTTATTTTCACTTAATGACTTGTGTCCTTGAGATACTTTGGTTTGTTTTTATTTATGGAACTATGATGACTTTGGTTTGTTTTTAATTATGCAACTATGATGACGTGGCTATTGTTAATTATGGAACTATGATGACGTTGTGGCTATTGTTGATTCCTGACTTATTTGTTGTGTTTGTGTTCTTCGTGCGAAGGCATAGGTAATATGGAGGGGGGTGAAAGTAGCAACAATAATGGTCCAATAGCATCAGTTGAACCAATTGAACAGGTGTTCGATGATTTTGAACTTAATATACTGAAAGCATGGATGGGTACTATTTCGTTGAACATGTCTATGCACACGAGAGAACCTATTAGGGACAGTAAATTGTCAGGGCGTGAATGGATAAGAGAGATTCTTTATGGACATTCAGATAGGGTATATGAAGCTTTTCGAATGGAGAGGCATGTTTTTCTCAACCTTTGTGATTTAATGAAGGCAAGGGGTTGGTTGGTAGATAGTCGATATATTAGGGTAGACGAACAAGTTGGGATATTTTTATCTATGATTTCTCACAAGAGCTTGAATAGAGATTTATGTGAGAGATTCCAACATTCGGGACAAACTATCAGCAAGTACTTTGCTAAAGTATTGCAAGCAGTTCTGAATCTGGCAAGAGAAATTATCGTACCACCTTCATTTGATGTTGTCCCAGAAGAAATTCTTATCAATCCTAAATATAATCCTTACTTCAAGGTAGGATTTTCATACATTCCTTTACATCGTCATTTACATTTTGTTGATAATCTTGTATAATGCTAGTCTTTGCTAAAATGACAGGGCTGCATAGGCGCTATTGATGGCACTCACATTCATCCTTTTGTACCAGTGTCGAAACAGATCCCATTTAGAGGCAGGAAAGGAATTACCACTCAGAACGTGATGTGTGTTTGTTCATTTGATATGAAATTTACATTTATGTATGCTGGTTGGGAAGGCTCTGCCAACAATTGTCGGGTGCTCTCGGCAGCACTCGAGACACATCGCTTACAATTTCCTCAACCTCCACTAGGTATTTGCTTTGTTTTTCATGGGATAATTTTCTTTATAACTGTATTGCATTTGCGAATCATGATCAATATACGAATACCTTGTGATAGGCAAATACTACGTGGTAGATTCTGGTTATGCTACAGCTCTGGGATTTTTGACTCATTTCAAAGGGGAACGGTATCATATTAATGATTTTAGGGGTAGAGTGAGGTAGGCAACAACAGCAAGAGAATTATTCAACCATAGGCATTCTTCACTAAGGAATGTTATTGAGAGATCATTTGCGGTGTTAAAGAATCGCTTTTTCATTTTGAGACACATGCCTTCATTTTCAATTCAAAAGCAGTCATGTATTGTAATTGCATGTTGTGCTATTCATAATTACATCCGTGATCAAGACAAGATTGATAAGAACTTTTCCCAATATGGTGATTCAGAGTACCCGTTTGGAAGTGCACAAGATGAGGTTATCAACGATACATCGACTGAGGAGGATATCGAGATCAACATGCTTAAGAAAAGAATTGCCAATCAATTGGCAATTGATAATAATATGGCGGAGATTCCATGAAAATGTGTTTCCGACTTTTCTAATGTATTTCCATTATTTTGTATTTGAGGAATTTTTTATGTTGGCTCTTGTAATGTGACGTGGTATTTTGGGATCTCCTATATTGGCTCTTGTAATGTGATGTGCTTGGTTTACTTTTCTCCATAAGCATTTGGGATATTATGAGGAACGATGCATACTCACAAATATTGAGAGCAAATATCGAGAGCGATGGTGGTTGAATGTTGAAGACCCGTTCCAGTGCTTGGCCATTTGCATTAATTTGACTGGAATTTGTGTGCGGGCGTACATAACGTTACGAATCCAATGTAAAATTTAATTTCAAAACTTCACAGAATGGCTTAGAATACCTGTGGCCACCCCGCTTTGAGCGAAATTTAATTTTTTTTAGGTGCCGAAAAAAATAAAAAAATGAAAAATGAAAAACTTCACAGAATGGCTTAGAATACTTGTGGCCACCCATTTCGAGAGAAATTTAATTTTTTTGAGATTCCCCAAAAAAATTAAAAAAATAAAAAATTTCAAAACTTCATAGAATGGCTTAGAATACCTGTGGCCACCCACTTTGAACGAAATTTAAATTTTTTTAGCTACCGAAAAAAAAATAAAAAAATAAAAAATTTCAAAACTTCCAGAATGGCTTAGAATACCTGTGGCCACCCACTTTGAGTGAAATTTAATATTTTTTTAGGTGACGAAATAAAAATTCAAAAAGCAAAAAAATCAAAAATACCATTTGGGCACCTCAAAAATTTTAAATTTCACTCAAAGTGAGTGGCTAGAAGTATTCTAAGCCATTATGTGAAGTTTTGAAATTTTTGATTTTTTATATTTTTTTTTGCACCTAAACAAATTTAAATTTCCCTCAAAGTGGGTGGCCACAGGTATTCTAAGCCATTCTGTGAAGTTTTTCATTTTTTATTTTTTATTTTTTTATTTTTTTTGGCACCTAAAAAAATTTAAATTTCGCTTAAAGCGGGTGGCCACAGGTATTCTATAAGACATTCTGTGAAGTTTTGAATTTTTCCACCTTTTAATTTTTTTTTTCGGCACCTAAAAAAATTTAAATTTCGCTCAAAGTGGGTGGCCACAGGTATTCTATAAGCCATTCTATAAAGTTTTGAAATTTCTAATTTTTTTAGTTTTTTTTTGGAAATCTCAAAAAAATTAAATTTCTCTCGAAATGGTTGGCCACGGGTATTCTAAGCCATTCTGTGAAGTTTTGCAATTTTTAATTTTTTTTAAATTTTTTTGGGCATCTCAAAAAAATTAAAATTTACTCAAAAAGTGGGTGGCAAGGTATTCTAAGCCAATTTGTGAAATTTTTTATTTTTTATTTTTACATTTTTGGGCACCTTAGAAAATTTAAATTTTACTCAAAGTGGGTGGGTACAGGTATTCTAAACAATTCTGTGAAGTTTTGAAAATTTTGATTTCTTGATTTTTTTTTGAAAAAATTCAACAAATTTCCTATTTTCCCGAAATCTGAAATTTTTTTTATTTTCTCGACATTTTGATGATTTTTTCTGGAATTTTTCAATTTTTTTTGGATTTTCTGAATTTTTTTTAGATTTTTATGAATTTTTCGGATTTTTTAATTATTTTTATTCCATTTCTAAAAAAATGGATTTCTGTTCCTGGAAATAGAATTTTCTGTTGTTTATCAAACGGGTTTTTGTTTCAGGAAATAAAAATTTTGTGCTATTATCAAACGGGTTTCTGTTCTAGAACTAGAAATTTTTTGTCGTTATCAAACGGGTTTTTTTTCTCAGAAACTCATCCTGGAACCAGAAATAAAAAAATCTATTTCTGTTTCAGGAACTCATTCCGGAACAGAATGGTTATCATTCGCTACCTTAGTGGGCAATAAGCAGTTTCACCGCTCAATCAAAGCAAAGGTACAAAATTACTGTCTTGGGTAGTAATTTGAGCTTTCGCTATCTTTAGCCATTGAATTCTCCGTTGAAACTGGTCGAGAGTTAATGCTCTAATGAAGTTTGCCCACTCATGAAAAGAGTATTTTGGCATTTTGTCTTGCAGTTTCAAATACTTCTC